ATGCCGAAAATAAGGGTGACAACAAATTATAGTAACGTAATATTTTAAAACTACTTTTTCCTTAACTTATAAAAAAAAAACCACGGACAAATTTTGTTCATTTCAAGATATCGATACGCAATATTATTAACGACTTTTTAATTATTTATGTATCTATATTGTCTAAAACAAATTTCCCACGAAGCATATGACCAAAACCAGTCGCAGACTACGAATAAACGTTACACGCAGGATGATTAAATAAATCAAACAAAATGTAAGTAAATTTAAATAATGCCTAAGGCATATTTACCTAAAGCAGGGTTTTATGGACAATTAATAACAATGTATTGTAAATGTGTTAGTATTAAAAAAAAAAAAATGTATATAAGTAGCTTTTAAACATAGGTTCTTAGAGGCTCCTATGTTATATATTAGCATATATTTCGCATATATTCAAATTATGATTTTTGGAATTTTTAAGTGTAATTAAAGCTGATATTTTTGACTACTTAATTTTATTGTTGTTATTATTAATATTATTGTTATTAAAAAGTTTGATTTTTCGACTTTATTATTTTCCCCATTTTCGAATTTTACAAGAAAATAAAGTAGGTATTACGAATTATTATTACCTACAGCGAAAATGTTAATGTTTTTTTTACTAAATTTACTATGTGTGCGAATGTGTGATTTATACATTTTTTTTTTTTTGTGTATTAATTTTTTTCTACCAAAATTCTTAAAAAAATGACACAGCATTGACAATACATTTTGGATCTAGTTACCTTCTACAATTGAGTGGTCATATTTTTATTTTTATTTTTTTTATTGTAGTTATCATTTATCTACTATGAAAAAAGCCGTATAGGACAAACAAACGATTTTTCATTTAAGTTATCTATAAAGAAATTGTAACTGTAAAAATGGACAAATTTTTATTCACAGTACTTATAGGTATTTTATTTAATTCGTAAATCTGCTCCTAGTATATGTAATTAGAAGTCCTCATTTTTAGGGACATACTGCTTAAGTTTTAAGTTTAGTGGGGATAGTATAATATCTATAGATTTTCATTAAACATCTAATTTAAAAATTAGATAATACAGTATGATATAAATGTCATAGTTTAGGTAGGTACCTATTTTAATCCAAAAAGTATTAAAATATATTCAAAACGTTTGTTGCCTATGGATTCTCTAATTGAAAAAAATATTTCAACATTCAAATAGTACCCAGTAAGTATAATAAATGTAAATATTTTATAATATTTTTAGATTGTTTTTTGGGTCATACCTACTGTGCTATAATATACACGTGCTATTAGGTATAATTTGAGAGCTCCTTACCTGATACTCATATTTTATGTATTTAAATACTGGATACTCAATATTTACATTTTAAATATTTAGATACTGGATACATTTGAATAAAACTAGTCATGGGTTTTTTAAAAATTATATTTATACATATTAAATATTTAATATATAATAATATAAATATATATACATATAAATTACAAAAGTTAATAAATTAATAGTAATAATATTCTACAACACAGTTAATAATTATTATTCATGTACATAATTTTTTAGATAATCATAGACTGCAATAAGTGCAATCAAAAATTAATAACTTAATTATTGAACTAGTATTACAGACTACAGTTAATAAGTTTTTAGAATATTTTAGACTTTTATAATATGTGAGAAAAACTCACCGTTCACAAGTCAAAGCTTCACAAGAAAAATGCTAAGTTAAAATTTGAATGTTAAATATTAAGGGCTGCTTAACTGTGTTTCCTCCTGAGCCTGTATATAACTTCTTGTTTCCTTTTAAAAATACCAATTTTTCAAGTTATATCGAATAATTTATTCCTACTAAAATTATAAATAAATCTTCCTGCCATAGAAAACATTTGTTCAACAAGTGCTGAAGAGCAGAAGTTGGTATTAAATCGAATAAACAGTTTTTATAGTCAAATAATTACTAAGGATATTTAAAGATTTATGTTTATCATTAAAAAAAAATAACTACTTCTAAATCAACTTTTTTAATGATTTTAGCAATTTCTGGTTGCAACAATTCTAAAATAAAGTAATATACCAAATTAATATACTCAGATCAAATGTAAAACCAAAAAGACGCCAAAGGATAATAGGAAAGGGTGCAGCTACTGTTATAGGTAATTTAATGTATACATGTAAGTATCGATAAACCATTGCTAATGAAAAAACGATTCTGAGCGGAGTGTAGTTGATAGTGATGCTTTGTCAACAATATATATTCGTAATATTATAGTAAAATAATTAAATATATATTTATATATTTTCTTTAATAAATATCGTTTAATGTTATAAGATAATGTTACAAATCGGTTAACTTCCCACATGACCGCAACTTGAGTATACACAATAAATAAAATTACCACAATTGTTTATCTGATTAATTTGCTTAAATCAAAAAATGCTCACAACTTGTACGTAGCCTAGGTTTTCTCAGTGCCGGTCCGATAGATTTCGGTGCCAGGTGAAGAATTTCGGGGGGCCCCATTTATTTTACATACTAACGAACTTTATTTTCATATAATTTTATAAATTATAAAGTTTTGTTAGAAATCTAAATCAAATTTCCTGGAAAAATTCTTGGAAAAATTTTAAAATTGCCTCTCCAGTCAAATTTTTTTTAGAAACATAGCTATCATTACAAATTAATAAAGCACTTTAAGAAAAAATTAGATACCAAATATTTATAAAAGCGTTATGGACCAAATAATTACGTGTATATAATTGTTGATGAAAACAAAGAGATTTATATAAATAATTTTTTTAATTTCTCATATAATTAAATATACTATTTTCGTTTGAGTTTGGCTATTGCAAATTTATTAATTGGTAAGTTATATGGAACGCCTAGTAAATCATATTTAGTTGCATGAAAGAACTAGAATCCACCAATTATGAAACTATTTGTCAGTTTATTAATACCTCGTTAAAAATATTTCCTGATATTGAACAAAAAGTATTACTTTTTATTAGTGATGCTGGTACTTATATGATCAAAGCAGCAAAACATTAAAAATATTTTTCTCAAAATTAATTCATATTAAATATATGGCGTAGTTGATGCAGTTAATAGTGTTCTAGACAAAATTGGAGAATTGTATCCTGACATTAATAAATTGATTAACAATGGTAATATATTAAATACCTATTTAATAATACTAAATATTAATAATTATATGGTTTATATCGCTTTTATAAATATATGGTATGCAATTATTTCTTAAAGTGCTTTCTTCTGGAATTGATTTGCCAGTATATTTTTCCAAAAATGATTTTAACACATGATTGCTCAGCTTATGCAAAAGAATATTTGCAGCAACAAATACATTACATACATTTTCAAAAAATACATTTTTACTATTCAAATTTTGAAAAGTAATCAAAAGCTGTTTTTTTTTCTTTATTCCTTTGTAATGCATTTATGTGTTGAACTAAAAAAATATACATGTATTTTTGAAATAATATGTAGTATATTATGTGTAGTATGAGCATAAAATACAAAACTTACTTGTTTTGGAATGATGATTTAAAAGATATGTTTTTTCAGTAGACACAGATTTTATATAGAAGACAATATATAACCTTTCCATCTGATGAAAATACTTCTTTATTTTCATAGTAAAGAGCAATCCAATTCGAAAATTTTACTTTTTAAATTTTATTTTATTTTAGGCAATACGTTCACTGTGCGGTCAAATTGATCAAAGAAATAGGTACTAAGGTACCAACAGGTAAATTGAAAAATTTGAAAATTGAAAAACATGACATTATAAAATTAAATAGTCAGAATATTTTTAGTATATATCAGCTATATATTTAATCAGATTTGATTTATTTTTATTGCAAAAAAAGTTGCAATGTCAATTCAATCCGGTCTTTACTTATAATTTTAATTATATTTTTTTAAATATTATTTTTAAGTTTTTTAGCTCATAAAAGGTACAAAAAATATGACTTAATGAAAAAAGTGACTTTTTTGAGACCTGTTATCAGGATATCACCAAAACATAGAACTACCAAATATCCAATAGAGACCACATTAATACTGTAATATAAACATTACTACTTATAGTGCACTTCAAGTGCAATTTAATGTGACACACTATTTCAATTTCTATAGCTTTAAGTTAAGTTACTAAATATGGTATTTTATTTTTACAATAATATTAAAAATGTTTTAATGAATACATTTAAAAATTTAAATCAAATAAGCAATAAAATTATATTTATGTACCTGGATTCTTAAAATAATGTCCAGCTTAATACATACCTATTCACTTTTATAAAAAAAGATCTAAAAAAGTACAGACATACTTCACACATGGGTGCAGCCACTGTTATAGGTGGAAAGCTTAGAAGGTAAAATACAACTGGGATTTAATGTATATCTGTAAGTAACGATAAATCATTGCTAATGAATAAACATTCTGAGCAGAGTTCAGTTGATAGTGTTGCTTTGTCAACAATATATAAGTCATATTATGGTAATATGATTACAACAATGTATGTTTCCATGACAATGATTGTCATCAAAGAAAGATTAAAACAATAAAAATTGTATAACAAAAAGTAAATAACACAATAATGATAACCTTGTTTTTAATCTTTCAATCTTTTTTAACCTAAGGAACCAGGTTGTCCTCATTATCTCAAATATTAATGAAAATTTCAAAAAATGACCTCTTTAGAGTACCTCCCAAAAAATATTTCTTTTCAAAAAAAGTGCTATACTAGATAATCGGAATAAGCTTTCTGGTAGAAAAAGTGTTTACATAAAAGAAAATTAAAAAAAAATAAACATCTTTGTAAAACCAATACATTTTTCGCTAAACTTAGAAACTAAAATTCAAATGATATGTAGTAATAATTTAAAATGAAAATACATTCGTGTATTCCTTTAAATTAATATAATATTAAATCTATTTGGTTATAAATAATATATAAATTAATAAAGGACTAGTTAATGTTACCTCCATTTTAGGTTCATTATAATTGGGTATCTTAAGACTTCAATTTGAGTGTTTGTAGTGTGCCTGGAACAAAGTATTAAAATTGCAATTACATTTAATAAAAACAACAGAACATATTACTTTATGTATATCTACATGTAGAGTGTAGAATCATTGGTAGGTAATTTAAGTGCAATATTTAAAATGAAAAAATCAGATTGCTTTTCCATTTCTTTGAAATTCCACTGTTTTGAAATTAACTTGATCTAAAAAACGAGTCATTTATACACACTTCATTAATTTGTAAAACAAGCTGAGTATTATTAAAATATAAATAATATCCTATTTCAATAATGTACAGGTCAGATAAGTGCCAAACAATCTGTGAGTGTAAAGTATAATACTCATTAAACTGAAATCAAAATTTAAACATAATGATATTATTATACATTATTTATTTAATACATAAAGCCACGAAATTAAAATTTACCGGTCAATTGTACTAATGTATTTTCCAAGTATCCAATTCGTAGCGACATGATGCATAATAAATAGATTAGTAATTTAGGTAAGTAGGTACTTATGTGTTTGGTTAAATTATCAAATAAACTATAAAAATAGGTATGTATTGAATAAAACAATAATAATATAATTTATATTAATAACTATAAGTTCGGCATTCAAATTTAAATACGTTTAAAAAATCATTCAATTGTCAATAGATACCTAATACAAATTTGATTAAACTGTTTGCTCTGAAAAATATAACCCATAGGGTAATAATTAATTAATCTATGGTACCTACAACCTAACCGTTTATCTTTCAACAAAGGTAATTATTATTGTAACGTGGTTCTTGCCGTTCGAGGAAAATACTGGTTATTATTTAAAATGTGATAACTTCTACCAATGAACAATGGTACTGAACAATGCGAGTAACCGCTGATCGAAATTGGCATCCTCGAATCGTTTCTAATAGATAACTCATAGATAATACAGATAGGTAATAGTTTTTATTATCTGTGGTTTAACTACACCGGTAACCGACTCGGGCGATAAATTAAGAAATTGCGTACGTACAGTTCCTATGAAACGGTCGGTATTCGAACCTCTTATTATAGCCAGTGCTCGAATTGGGAGGAGGGGTCGCAGGCGGACGGAGTGCTCTTTCATTTTTCCATAGAATTCAGCGTACTCCTACCTATAACTAAGCGAGGAACGCATTCTCTTAAGAATGTCTACTTTTGAACGGTGTATTTAGATAAATTGTTTTCGTTTATTTCTACCAAAGTAATGGTTATTTTTTCCGGTAAACAGTTATCGTCGATGACAATCGAGGCGGTACCAATAATATGTTAGCTACTATGCTGCATATACAGAGTGATCAATCTATCGTAAGACACTCGTTATCTCGGAACCCTTATTTTTGGGAGTAAAACCACTACCTACTTTTGATTCCCAAATAGCAACCTACATTAAAAATTCCATAAATAAATGAAATATTAGTTAAAACAAGTGCTGGTGTTGATATTTTTGATTTCCGTCAATCCAGTGACAAGATATTCCACTTTTAAGTTTTGTTTAGGGGATAGTGGTGGTGCATTATTATTACGCCGTACCACCCACACGAATGATATTCGACTACTCTCCTCCAACCAAAACTTAAAAATGGAATATCTCGTCAATGGATTGACGGAAATCAAAAATGTCAACACCAACACTTGTTTTAACTAATATTTCATTTATTTATGGAATTTTAAATACAGGTTACCGTTCGAAAATCAAAAATAGGTATTCGTTCCACTCCCAAAAATAAAAGTGACGAAAAATAACATAAATATAAAATTGTAGAACAACTTTAGTTTATCGTCGATGACGATCAATGACGGTAGGAAATACACCTATAACACGGTACAAAGTGTGCAATGATATTATTTTGTTTTATAATTGTATTATTCGACGTAAGCGCCGAACAAATTTCACGCGGATTCACGGGTAACGTACGTTACAATTTCACATGAACACTGACTACGAGGGGGCACTCAACCCGTTAAGACTTTAAAGTTTAAAATAATAGTTTTTGTTTTCAAACTTTAAGATTAAACTTTAAAACGAACAGATTTTTACTTTAGTTTTGATAATAATAAAAAAAAATCGTACCACCGGTGTCCAAGGCAAGAAAGACAAAACGAAAATAAAAAAGCCGCTCCATTAGGTAAATTATCGAACTTTTTGATTTTCATTCAATGCTTAATTAATCCGCTCAGAGTCGAATCACGATCTAAAAGACCGTGTCTTTATTATTTAACAAATTATACTCATTGACTTTAGTAATTTACATTATTTCGTGTGTTTGGATACCTTCAATATGTCATGCTATAATTGTATAACATTATAACACGTCAAAAAGACCGCTTACGACTAAACTCGTAATGAATTTCGTTAGGTATTATTTTCTTCGGTGACTGACTTAAGATTGGATATTTATATATTTTCGTAATTTTTTCCCGATAGTTACTGTCTTTATATAATTCTTATGAGTCAATAAAATTCGATCAAAAACATTTTCGTAATTTTAGTTGTATACCATTGCAGTAGTCACATCCTTGAGGTAGTTAAATCTTTTTATCTATTTATTATACGCTCGTATCAGCGGCCAGCGTGGTCCTATAAAATCAGTGTCTAAATATTATAATTTAAAGTAGAATAACTCAGAAACTTTTCGTTCAAATTGTCGTCAGTGGTCAGAAAAATCATCCGATTTATAATATACATTGAAATGTGTACCTAGGGTCTCATTTGAAAAACCAAAGTTGGTTTCGCCACAGGTACTCCTTAAATGTTGTGTAAAATCTAAGTATTCGAAAATATCGACTCTAACTACTCTTATAAATTCTAAAAAACCGGAATTTGAATGTATGCAAAATTTAACCGAAAAAATGGGATGGACACGCTTGGTGAATCGCCGTGTGTATTATAAACACGATGGATTTATTTTAAAAATAATACTTTGTTATGTTTTCCTGTGTATAGGTATTATAATATATCGTTTGTGATTTCGGAAACGAAAAAACAAGTCTTTCTTTAAAACTTAAATTACAAACCCGATTAACCGATCGAATAAATAAATAAAAGGGTATAGGCACTTATCGATACTCGAATATGGTATTCAAAGCGTCCTACAGCCGAAAGGTCTCGCTATACAGTGTGTGTTATTGAAATAAATTCGGCTTTTTGCGTTAGAAAATCATTAAAACAATATAAATGATATTGTTAAATACGAAAATCGGTACCTATACGCGTTCAAAATATAAAATGTAATATTTGTTTTTGGATTTTTTTTTTTTTTTAATTAACGATTAAGTGCCGATTTTTCGATTCGGTCGTAAGTATGCCAAAAGTAAAAAACACCGCCGTGTTGTCGAAAAAAAAGCTAATTAAAATTTAACAATTGACTGCAGCGGCGTTAAATTAACTGTCCAACCCTTAAACTTGGGTGTGCACAAGACCGTTTGAACACCTATCCCGGTTACCACCCCCCCGCCCTTCATCCATTTTGTATTAATTATTATTTTAGATTGCGCCACTTGTCAAAACGATGATAAATTAAAACTGCAGCGGTGTAATGCGATGGTTTCCTCGAATATAGGTCATAACTCATAATAATAATAATAATAATTATTATAACATTCAAATAATTTTCGAAAAATGGTTTGTCGTGTTATCAGTAATCAGCAGTGGCGCACCTAGGGTTTTTAAACGGGATGTGAGGTTAGACATTATTCAATTCAATTTATATTAATTAAAATACATCTATACGAAAATCTAAAAAAAAAAAAAAAAAAACTATAATTATTTTGCAAAATATATTATAATTGTGTAGTACAATTTATTATTTGTATACATAGTTGAATAATCAGTGCAGTGACGTAACTAGAATTTCTTAAAGGTCAATTTACCTGTCCATCGACTCAAAACTCAAAATTATGCCTTGTGCCCTGATTTAAGGTGCCTAAATGACATGGGCCCATGACTCATTGCCCGTCATGTCACCCCATTGATACGCCACTGAATCAGTGCAAATGTGTAATCAGCGAGATGTACGGGTTAGATCCGACACATTAATTCAGGAATTATGACGGTTAACTAAGTTGTTAACTTGTAACTATAAAATAAAGTACAATTATTAGTGTTTTTTATAATTATTTTATTTTATTTGTACAAATAGTATCTTAAATTTGAACTCACAACGTATAGAACAGTAAATTATTACGACATACCGCTCAACTTTTTATTTTGTAACTAAGTAAAATGTACGATGAAACTTATTTCAAATTATTTAGTATACTTTTGAATTAACAAAAACTGTATCATAAACCTAAACAAGTTTTCGAAAATTTTAAAGGCCTATAAATAATTCGAAAATTCCCAGAATACATTGGAAATTTTCGGCATTTTCGCACGTCTAGAAAATACTAATATAAACAAATATTTTAGTAAAAATGTTAGATCTCTACGATTAGTTTTCACCAAATTAAGCAAAGAATAAAAAAAAAAAGACGAACACAAAAACCGCAATGTTCTGGTTTATCCGATGTTTATCTCTGGTTATCAAGAAACAGACAAATTGGAAAAAAATGAATTCTTCATTGCCCTAACAGAAAAAAATTTGCTATTAGCAACCACCACTGAAGTTGATGGCTGAAACGAGTTTTCTTGTCAACAATTCGTAGGAAAACGTGTTATTAATACAAATACGGAATTAAAAATGAATAAACATATGCACCGAGCCAACAGCCCATAATCTAATTTCGGAAAACGACCTACCGTCTTCTGGGATTTGGCCAGTACACCCCTGAGTGCAATGATTATTGATTTAATAGAAACAAGTTTTCACCGCTGAATAATTTATGTTATTTTATTATACTTAAACAGGGCCAATGGGGGAGGGGGACGAAGTCATCCGGTTCCCCTGGGTACGGCACTGTCTATAATGGAATTATTTTGATTTTGTATTACATATATTAAACAATCATTAAAAGATAATAGATGTTCAGTGATATGGGGTGACATTTTTTTTTTAAGCCCAGCAATTTTCTATATATTTACGTTTTACCCCTCTTGTACCCAAATCAGTAATAAATTGTTATTATAGTTACTGTTATTTCATACAGTCCTATGGCACTATATACAGTATTACCCGCGACCCATAAACCGCCCATCAATTTCGGTTAAGGCGCGAGCTTAAAAAAAAAGAACGGTCTTCATCCGGATGTAGTTATAATAAAGATATAAGATCGGTAAACTGACTCTGAGCGCAGCGAGGAATATATTGGTTTTACTATGTTCGTCCTTTTTTATTTTTTTTTCTCTGATTCTAAACGATTTTTCTACAGCAATTATTTCAGTTTTCAGTTTTCACGTGTAACATATTCTCTGAAAACAAATTGTATCTAATTGGACACAATTTGTTTTTGCTTTGTTAACTAATGCATTGAGGAAGTCGTTAATTTTCCTTGCAGTTTTTTTAATACTTGGGAAAAACTTAAGGAAAACAGGAAAGTTTGCGGCTATAAATTCACTATTTTAGATTTTGTTTTTTATCTTAATTTAGTTTAAAATAATCGTAGTCTTCAGGAATTTTCAATGAATTACTATTCAGTAATTAGGTAAATTAGCCTTTTCCAAATGTGGTAAATTATTGTTCAAACCAATCTGGCTATTTTTGAACTTTGCTCTATACATATTTGACATTTTGATTGTAATAAAATCCCTAACAGCACAAACCTTCCCGGGTACCTCCAATAAAAGTCCATTTAATTGTCCAAAACATCCTTGTTTTTTTTTTTTTTTTTTTTTTTTAAAATAGTGTTCATCATGCATATTAAATCTAATGAAGTATTTTATATGGTGTTATATATATATATAATTTTAAGTAAAAAATAATATTTATCAGTTCAGGAAATTGTGGAGTTGTGGAGACTTTTTGGCGAACTGGTTGCTGAGCTATTTCATAGATCTTGCGGCCTGTGATTTTAAAAAAAACTATGTCATGTATGTTATAAAAAAATAATGGAATATTTTGTAAAACATACAATCTTGTTAATAATACGAAATTTTAAAATCTTATTTATTTAAAATTTAGTAAAATTAATTATTTAGTATCATTTATTACTCAATATGCTGTCTATGATATAAAATTAATTTTAAGGTTAATATATTAAAATATATATATTGAAAAATCAGATAGAGGACATAGAAATTGGAATCAATATTTAAAATATCAAAGTGTCACATTTCATAAACCATATGTAAATAACAATTATTGGATTAATTTAATTTATATTATTTTAACATTTTTATGTAGGAATTTAAATAAAAATAAGTAGTTAAAATTGTATAATATAATAAACCAAGAAAAAAAACCTGTATTCCGTAGCAGATATTTAGAAGCGGTATGTTAAGATTGTAAGGAGAATATAGAGGAAAGGAGGCAGGCTTTCTTTAAAAACTTTTACGATGAAGAAGAGGATTGGGGTAAGTTTTAAAATGTCAAACCTAATTGTTAATGGTGTTACTTATATATATGTTGAAATGTAGACAATAATTTATAGTATATTTTACAATAACCAAATTATATTGTACAAAAATTCAACACACACATCTGTAAGATAGTTTATACAGAGAAAAAATTAATAAACAATATTTTAATTTAAACTTCATCTATTTTATAATGCCCATGGATTAATGTGTGAATATGGTCTTCTAATATAATCCTCTTATCATCATAGCTGTTGAAAGTGAGTTAATTTGCAGAGATGGTGTTTAGTTGATGGTGGAATGAGCGAACAGAAACATTCTCTCTATTAGAGCCCTGCACGGGCCGGGCAGATCTGGTACAGTCTGTTTTGGCCCGGCCGGACTCAGGTATGCACTTGTGAGTTGTTTGGGATGGGCCGGGCTTACAAGATCATATTTCAACTATGGATGCAGGCCGAATAATAAGTACACTTATCAAATTTTATATGAATTTCACAAATCTATTAATAACTTTAGTATTTCCAATACTAGAATTACATGGCTTGAATAAGAAGTGCACTTATCGAATTTTATACAGCAACAAGTGCTGCAAGTGAAAAGGCATTCAGTTCAGCAGGTAGAGTGATCGAAGAAAGAAGATTATTCTTGAAAGCAGAAACTATTGATGCATTATTATTTTTAAGAGATTATCAGAAATAAATATAAATAAATATTTGTAATCCATTGTAATATTTTTCATTAAGATGAACCTGGCCGGGTCCGACTAAATCTATGTAAACAAAATATTGGACAGGCTTGGGATTTAAAAATAAGGCCCGTGCAGGGCACTAATACATCATATCCAAGTCGTCCCCAAACAGACAGTTTTTGTGATCGTTAAATGTCATGTGATTTTTGACCACATGACCCTAGATGCCTTTCGCTTTGATCTTTTCTTTACCATCAATCTTATAAGCATAAGATTTAGTATGAAATGCACAAAACTTTGTGATTGTCTATCCGACTCATCCTAGAAAAGACCTGGTATTTTCTTCCTCTCTGCAACATAGCACGAGTGGTCTCTCGGTAGGTTAGCCGTGTCCGTGCACTCCAACAGCCCGGGTTTTTTCAACAGGCCCACATACAAATCTTTAGTCCTAATATGATACACTAATGAATCCGAAAAACAATATAATATGTTAAAAGAAAAAAAAAGTAATAATAATTTACCATAGTTTTTGAAATGCTTCTTCATAAAATTGTAATGATAGTCCTACATTTTTGTTTTTAAAATGTCCAACACAACAAAGCCAATATAGATCGGTTCGCAAAAATGTATAATCTTGTTCTCCAACGATACAGCACACAAGTTTTCATTGTAGGAAGTACAGTGTTTAAACTTTGTTTTGTTTATAAGTTTCTGCATTCTCTTCTCACAGGATACTAGTTTGATATTGATTCTCCGTCTCATTGATTCCATCATCTTACCTAGAAAAACATAATAATATAATAACATATAAGTTTTAATAATAATAATAATAATAAGAACTTACCAAAAACAGCATTGTTCATAAGTTTGTAGACATTTTTTTCAAAATCATTAGCTGCCTTCTTCCTCATTTCTGTATTTAAACTAATGTATTTTGCAAGCCATGGTGATTGTTCAAACTGTAGGACTCTATGTATCTGTAACATAAATAATACAAAAAATATAATAAATACAATTAATTAAATGAATAAAAGTGTTTACCTTTTTAATAATCAGTCCATTAGCTATCGCCTGCTTCAAATTTCTGTAGTGTATGATATAATTATTCTTCTCTTCCAACGTCACCATCAACTTCTTCACCTTCGAGCCTGGTGATCTGTTATTCGGTAACAATGGTAGGTCGTTGTGGTCCACGTGTAGGTGTTCCGGGTACGCTATATCCACTTCGTATACTCGCCCGATATCAGAAGTGTCCGTCAGTTCCTCCAAACCGTCTAATGTAGGTTCTTTCCACTGGAACCCGCCGTGGGGCATGTACTGTAACATGGCCATGCCATACAAATTGTTACCTAAAACAAACAGTAAAAAATTATAAGTATGATGTATACATATATTTTTATAAGTATTTGTAAAATATTATTGAAAAAAAAAAAATTTATACTTACAATCCTTAAATAATCCTCATATAATCCATAAATCTTCTTTAGTCTCGACATAGTCTTCCACCGTAAAATTGTTCGCATTCCCATATCGTTTGCTCGCATGTACCAATCCTCCACGTATACCTATAAAATCAAATAAATATAATAATAGTTAATATGTATAAAATAATATAAAATTTTTACCACTTTCGAACATCGGCAACATATCGTAGTCTGTCAGATGTTCTAATTCAATAGCCGTGTATTTCAGCATACAGTCTAAGCTGAATCCGGCCGCCGTGTAATAGTACGCCGGATCTAAATTATACGTCTTCATACAAATGTCGCGGACATTTTCGAACACGTCCACCAACAGCATGACGTCAATCTCCAAATATAATTCACTGTATTCTCCCAACGTCCTACAATCGAAATGCGTCCATACCGCCTTTCCGTGCTCGTAATCTGCGTCACCAATGTCTGTCTCTGTCAGCGCGCTATAAAACTCCTCTTTCCTTGGTGACGTGTTTTCTTCTAATTTCTCCCAATTATCCGTGTATTCGTCCGGGTAAACTCCTTTTCTCGTCACCAGCGGCACATCCTCGGTGTTGAACACTTTCCGTGTTTCTCTGAACTTTCCGAAATCTGGTGTTCCGAGGTTTGATGCGAGAGCTGACAGACTCGACGCCATGAACCGGCACGTATCAATAAATCGTACGGAGAACGTGTTGCTCACATATATCGAAAATGAAATAAATTTTTCTTCGTTGTTACGAATGACGGAAATCGTTTGCGCGTAATAACCCAGCTCCGTGACGATGAAATGTGAGTCGTAATTAGAGAGGTTGTGGAAGAAGCACGGGACAAATTTAGGTACCCGCAATTTCAAATTACAAGTATTGCACAGCGTCTGCCTGAATATGCCCGACAAGTGGTTGTGGTCGGCGACTTTATAATTTTGAAAATAAAATTAATTTTTACATAAATTACATATTTCACAGGTGAAATGATTCTCCCGCTCTTCGTCCGTCATAATAATTTTTCCACTCGCTGACTAATTTCCACAAGCATCAAATTCTAATTTTGAATGACGGGCAAAATCGGTTTATGTTCACCGCATATCATTTTATGTTGATCCTGCCCGCTCAATTTCGTCCTCGGTCCGTTATCGAAAGCCGTAAAACGCAGTTTACAGAAAATTACTTTTTCATTCGGTTTTCTGTGACCGTACAAGACGGGAAAAATTCGATATGTAGGTGTAACGTTGTTTTTTTCTTCTTTGGTAATTAAAAGGAGATCGAGATGGTGCGCCTTGTTCTCCTCGTCTGCTACTTCAAGTGGAAAAACGGTACATACCGTTTTTTTTTTTTTTTTTTTTATTTTTTTTTTTTGCTTGTTTCTTCGGCCCGTAAACATTTACGGACACGTTCGAATAATTTTTGTCAAATGTGTTAATGTCCGAAAGCGGGGTTGAATATGTCAATCCGCTAAAATCGTACTTCGTGACGTGCGTAAAAAAATTTGTAATTAATACGATATTCATGGATCCATGTTATGTGGGTAAGCGTACGTTTCCTACCGACACAAAATGAAAAAAAAAAAAAAAAAAAATTAAAACCGATTCTCTCGCTACGCGGTGGGGCGTAATAAAATAAATCTTACCACGGTAAACATCCACACCGATATCCATAAACAGCTCGTCGTTTCCTTCGTCGGTAGTCCATGGCCCGGTTGAAGTCGATGGTACCATTGATGGTCCGGCCTGCGGGGGAATTGCCGACTTGGCGACTATTCCGTCACGATGAAAAATTTCAACGTGGATATCGCGGTTGTCTTTACGCGCGAACGATTTCGGGCGTAGAGCACGTTGAAATTTTACTCCGTCGTGCGATTTGGCGCGGCGCGTCACATTACTTTTTTGCATTGAAAACTTACGAGCACAACGGGCGAAAGTCCATTCGTACGTATTCATTTTCATTCGGATACAAAAACGAACAAATAAAAATAACAGGTTAATTTCCAATGAAAATCATTTAAGACGCAATTATAATAAAACGTGTAATTTAATATTTTGTTGTGTAGATAATATTTGTTTGTAACGGCGGGTAGACGGGCGGGGGAGAGGACGCGACCGCAATACACGGTCGTATAAATAATCAGCGCCCGGCTGACGGGCGGGGGGGGAGGGGGTGGTCATTCGACGGTACGGTAACGCGCGCGAAGACACAATTGCACGTCAACCTTCGTGTCGGCGGTCGCCGACATTCTGTGAAATACGATACGCGTTGACCGCCCAATAGGCGGGCGTGGTATGATGAGCAGCTCGTTAATAATGATTGCTAAGTGTATGTCATGAAAAATATTATTTGGAAAAATAATAACAACTTATTAAAATATATACCCTATGTACGTGCATATTGTATACGGTACACAAATTCGGTGTGGGGCCAAGAGACCAGCTTATTCAGGATCGTACGGGATCTTACGGGCAAGAAACACGGTGCGCGCTGCTGTCGTTATATATATGTGAATATTATTTTCGTTCTCGGAGTGGGATCGGCTATATTTATATTATAGACGGGGGGAAGATATGTGTGTGTGTTGGTAGGTATATGTATACGTTTATGTGCGTGTAGGTATGTGTTGATGGTCGGCGGGTAGGGTAAGGCGATAGTAGTATTTGGTGATAACAGTGTGGAAAAAAAAGGGGGTGTGGTCTAAATAGGTCGAGTACGTGGTGCATGAAGGAAAATTGGAAAAAAAAATCCTTGCTCCTGACCCTGGAGTAGAACTCTACTTTTTATACTACTCATAACCCAGCAATATAATACTATAAAAGACAAAAATATATTATGAATACATCAATAATACAAGAATAAATAATACAGAAATGTATTATATTTCATACACATGTCACGAACATAGTAAAATTTAAAGTAAATAAACTTTACTAGTGCATACAAAATAAGATAGAATAAACTAGAAACGACAAGGTGGGTAAGTGACAGGAGAACGGACATTTTCGGAATTCAGTTTCATGAGCATGGTGTACCGGGGGAAAATATAGGTACTTTATTACTCAGTGGCGTGCCCAGGAATTATCAATGGGAGGTGATATAGCAAATAAGAATTATAAATAAATCATAAATTCGTCTTCTCTACGCAAATTGACTGTGGGGTTTAAAAGCTGGATCTCAAAAAAGGCCAATTTCTTATCAATATCTCAAACTTTTCCTCGTAACTTGGGTGAAATAAATGCATTTGTACATTAGATTACTCATATTTTGTTGTATTTTAAGCCGATGGGGGGGATTTAATCCCTCTCCAGGAGTGGAGAGGCATGCGCAGGGGGGCGCATGTCACTGATACTACTGTAGTGATGCACCGATGCAAGCGTCAACCCAACTGATTACATGTTATCTATGGACGTTACACGTTCCGTTCCCCCTCCCCCATCACACGTCCACCAGGTCATTTTAGGTTAAACAGTGTATTGATATCCGTATTATTGTTAATATCATTGAACTATAAGATGACTTATATCTATAAATTATAGTTCAATGGTTATTATCAGGTACACCGTAAACCGTTATCAAAATCAGGAGTACTAACTGTATCCGTCCCTGATATGGATATCTCACTATATCTGTAATAGGTACTTGCATTCGTGGTCCACGATTGAGATTTATATCTTTATCAGTGATTGAGACTCAATGAGTACTTGTCTAGGCATACAATTTTAATCAAATTGAAGCGGCAAAATGAAATTGATAATCGTCAAAAAAAAAACCGGAATCAAAATTTTCGCTTTAGGACGGGAAATATCTTACGACGGGCCTGTGCCTAGGTATTACCATGATTAACTAATTAGGTATGTTAGCACTCATGATCCGCATCATGCCTACGCCATCCCCTAGTCAGTATTTAATAATTGCTTATCACAAAGATACAAAAATATTTCTACAATTTTAGTATGTTTACGCCAGAGTAGCACATTAATGCAATTTATACAATCTGGTTATTTACTTTAATAGTTAATAGTTACCAATTAATTATTTCTTGTATATAGGTAATAATCTAACTGGTTTATACTTGGATTTTATTATTAATTATTATCACCTACTCTTTATTATTAATCTCGCTATTTTGATGTTAAACCGTAATTGTCATTATCGGTATGCGGCATTTTTGACTCACGGATATCTGTATTACAATAGACGTCGAGATAGATTAACTGTTATACTGTTTACAATAAACAATATTGCTTATCTGTCTCAATGAATATAGATATCATATTCTGCTGTGTTTTGACTATGTGACTGCTCGAGCGTGTTGCACTATCCCGTTGGACGACTAGGCCGCAGTGGTTCTCAATCATTTTTGTATGACGACACTCTAATTTAGATTCATGACGAAAATGACGACACACTTAAAAACAATTAAAATGACACACAAGGCTCACAAGTCACAATACGGTAATTGCGACCGAAGCCATAAGTATTAACGTACCTACGCGTAATGCCAATTCCCTAAATTTTGGGTTATTCATTCATTCATTTATTAATGACGCCCGTATAATCTATTAAGTATAAACCGTGGGTCTAAAACTCACTACTGAACAAAGTGGTTCTTGGTTGTAGTTCAAAATCGTGATACCAGTGGGGCGATTCTCTATTTACTATCTATGTTCTATGGTGTAAACAATTATAAATAAACAATTTTTTTGGCGACACACAACAGTAATACACGACGCACCGGTTGAGAACCACTGGACTAGTCACTAGGGGGACTGTTTCTATGGATAATTTATTTTTATGCTCGTTATCGCCATTGGCCATAACCAATTTTGGTTAAAGTATTGACTTCTATTTCTATATTATTCCATTTTGAATCGTAATTTGTTTTTGTGGATTAAATTGTATTTTACAATTTTACTCTTTTAATATTGTATATTTGTATTGCTATTTGCTGTACATATAAAAATGTCTGGCGATGATTCTAATGAGAGTGAAGGAGAGAATTTATATGAGGCGATAGCAAGCTCGTCTTTAAGGGGAGGATCGCTTCCCCCAGAAGCCGTGTGATTTTCTGTTTTGTTTTACAAAAAATCATTCTCACAAGGGTGAGATAGAATTAAACTAACTACCAAGTGAGAACAATCAATTTGCAAAGATATTAATATATAATAGTATATTTTTAGAATCAAAGTTATAAAATGTTTAATTTTATTTAAATTTTAGATTTTAAGTGTAGCGAAGAATGTATTAGTTTTCCAATGGTGTTTATTATTATTTTTTGTTTAAAATACTGTGACAAAAATTTCTACCAGAAATCTTGCTTCGATAGGTACGTAAGTATAGCACCTTTTCTAAAAGGAAATATTTTTTTTATTATTGATATTGCTATAATTTTTATTTATTTAATGTGCAAAACATTAGTTTAACTTTCATATTGTACCATTTTACTGCATTGGATTTGTACAATAAATCAGCGATCTTCTAAGCTGACTACATAAATTGAGCTCTTTTTTTTATGTTTGTAGTGTGCTTAAAATTGAATCAAAAATGTGCGATTTGGAATGTTGGAACAAAATATGGATTGATGAAGATCTTACTGCTAAGAAACTGTTTGATCTCAAGCGAAGTAGTGATGGTGGCGATCATAATTGGGTCATCAGGTATTTCAATGGATCTCCTCGGGTCGTGAAAAAGAAAATTTCCAACGGGTCATCAAAAAAACGAGTGACCTGCCGTGGCTGTAGTAAAAATAATATTAAATCTAGTAATTTTTCCTTTAGTTTTTATCATAATTGTCTAGTGATCTTCAATCGGTGGATCGCGTAAGCTTATAAGTTTTCTTTTTAAAATAAAAATTAAGTTTATACAATTATATAAGATATACAAATAATTGTTTAATTATTAAACTTAGAAAATTAATAAATGAAAATACAGTTTTAAAATTATTATAATATATTATGTATAAACAATATTATATAATTTATATTTAAAAATATAATAGTATAATGGATTTCAAATCACAGTATATGTTTCATATACTGGTATGGTTAGGTTAATATTAAATATAATAATTTACGAGTAAACCGGGCTAATAATTAAATAAATATATTATATTATTATCGTTAATGAGTCGTATAATCTACGAACATTGTCGATGTTGTCGCTGTGTTTAAAGACGAATAAATGTTTGTCGCGTTATTATTCTGTTCATATTTACATATCCATAAAAAAATTTTTTTGTTTTTCTACAAACATTTTTTTTTATGTATGCCTTATGTGGGTCACAAATAATGTACCCCTAAAAAAGTTGGTCGTGAGTCCAAAAAGGTTGAAGACCACTGGTCTGGGGTTTAGGTCCAAATTAATTAATTTTAAATGTATTACTGCATGTTTTGATTATTTATTTCTTATCTTAACTGAAACCTGGCTTTATGATGGTATTTCTGATTCTGAATTAGGCTTAAGTAATTACAACATATTTAGATGTGATAGGAATAGTTCTTCTAGTCCTTACTCAAGAGGTGGTATAGTCCTCATTGGTATATTGCTGACATTCCTGTTCTAGTTGTCTCTGACATTCATATAAATATTGAGTACCTACTTACTTTTAAGTTGTAATATTAATGGTAATAACGGTATGATTGGTGGCGTCTACTTTTTTCTTAACTCTCTTACCATTAAGTATGAGTTATTTGTGTATGCTATTGAGGATTTGGTTTCTATCTGGACCACTAGTTAGTTATACGTGGTGATTTAAATCTTCCTTGGATCTTATGGTCTAACGATGATAAAGGTCTTATTTATTTTACTACCTCTGGTCCCAGGGTTCATTGTGTGTCTGAGTCTTTTGCTGGAAATAACTTCTTTTAAATTAATCAAGTTTTTAACTCCTTTACCTCACTTCTGGATCTTGTCTTTGTTACTAATTCCTAATTAGGTATTAATCAAGTTCAATCAATAATGAATTTCTTGTAAATTTAGGCACTTGATGATCTTGGTATCATATTTGATCGCGAACTAAATTTCCATGACCATATTGAGAAATTATGCTGTAAAGCTCTTAAGACTTTTGGTTTTATGAAGAGAGTCTTTAGGGAATTTAATTTGATTAATCCGTTAAAAGATAATACTTTTAAGTGTTTGCGCGCTAATTAGATCCATCCTTGAGTACACTGTGGGTATATCAGACTGCAACTAGTAAGAACCAGATTGAGCAAGTGCAATGTAAGTTCCTAAATTTTACTACAGGAATACTTCATATTGCTCATAAACCGCATTATTGCGAACCAGTATTAACTAAACTTGGATTGTTATCATTAGCTAATAGGCACACTTCTATGGGCCAAGTGTTCTTGAAACAAATTTTGGATGCCTCTATAAAATGCCCAAATTTATTATATTAACTTAATTTCAAGGTTCCAAGCTTCCAGTTTAGATCACCTAATCCTTTCTACATCCTGATTTGCACCACTAATTATTTCTGTTATAGATCAATATTCAGGATGATGAGCACCGCCAATGAGAACCTTTTAACTTCTATATTTTTGTAATTCATCTATATATTATATGTATCTATGTAATTGTCTCTTAAAGTAATGTGTAATATATATATATATATGTATACATATTTTATATAAATATGTTGTATTTTTAAATACTGTACTCTGGGCCTTAGCCTGTTATATTTAATAAAATTAAAATAATGTAGTAACTTATATTTTTGTAACTAATGTACCTATCCATGTAAATGAACTAATAAGTCCTAAAGTATTAAATATATAAAGTGTAATTGGGTTCCTATATGTAATATTTATTTTTTACACTTTTTAAGTATACCTAAACATTATTTTTATCTTATCTACCCAAGCATATTGGTTAAAGTAATATTATGGTTTTATTATTTTCCATTTTGTTTTTTTGTTGTAATACAGTAAAAAATGTTCATAGAGATTAAAAATTGTAATCAAAAACTTATATTTGAAACAATCAGCTCTATAATTTTGTGTTTATGTTATTTTTTGTCACCCTTATTTTTGAGTGTAAAACCACTAATAAATTTTGATTTTCAAAAGACAACCAATATTAAAAATTCAATATAGATGTGATGCATTAGTTAAAATAAATTTGAGTGTTGAAATTTTTTACTTCTTTCAAGCCGTTGACGAAATATTCCACTTTTAAGTTTTGGTTGGTGGAGAGTTGTGGTGCATTATTAACACTGCGCGCAGAGTACCGCCATACAGCCGCCGCAGAGGCGTACGAATATGTGACGTCACGCGTAATATTATAAATCATAAAACGAATTTTAGTGATATCAATTTTTTCATCGTAATATGTACTAAAATTTAAACGTATGTGAACGAAAATTTATTGAATTTGATGGTCCTTTAGGGATTTATGTTCTCTTAACTATTTAAAGGTAAGGTTGTAAGAACGTTGGGAATATACGCTTGTAATATAAAAATAAACAATAGTAAAATATGCAAAATTATGACAAAATGAAGAGTCGGAAAGGACAGCCGAGCAGTTCGAAAAATGATTTTGGTTACCAGGGGTGCATGCGGTACGACGTCCCATGAGTCGTCGCACTACCGTACGTTCGGTATTGTGGTCCCACAGTGAGTGGCTGCGGCAGCAGTATCTGTGTTGGGTAGCGAAGAATGTATTGGTTTTACAAAGATTTATAATATCTCGTTAATAAATCGACGGAAATCAACAATTTCAACACTAAAATGTATTTTAACTAATACGCCATCTATTTATGGACTTTATACTATAGGTTGCCATTTGAAAATCGTAAGTAGTAAACGTAGTTATGTGATTTTCGACTATAAGTTCGCTAGATACGGCGATTTGTAATATTCCGCGTGACGTCAAATATTCGTACGCCTCGGCGGCGGCCGTACAGCAGTACGTTGGCATAGTGTTAATAATGCACCACTATTCTGCTCCAAACAAAACTTAAAAGTGGAATATCTCGTCAACGGTTTGACAAAAATAAAAAATTTCCTATACTCAAATTTATTTTAACTAATACTCATTTTTTTCTGGAATATTTAGTATAGGTCGTCAACTGAAAATCAAAAGTGGGTAGTGGTTTTATACTCAAAAATAAGAGTGACAAAAAATAACATAAATATAAAATTATAGAACAGCTTATTTCTTAAATGTTCTACAAAACAAATTTCACAAAAAGTTAACTCTTCGAGATAATGAGTGTACCTAAATGGATCACCTGGTATAGAGCCATCGCAAAGGCGTACGAATATGTGACGTCACGCGGAATATTATAGAAGCGAATACAAACGAATTTAAATGATATCAATTTTTTCGTCGTAATATGTACTAACATTAAACCATAGAAAATGTATTGAATTGGATGGTATTTTAGGGATTTATATTCTCTTAACAATAAAAAGGTTATGTTATAAAAATGATTGAAATATACGTTCGTCAAATATGAAAGAATGATTTGTTAATTTTAATAGACTTCGAATACTAAACGATACTAGTTATCACGGGAGGAAACCATGTGATAATTTCCGCGGTAACATAATACAATTAAATCGTTCTTTTTACGTTTTTTTCCAGTATTTTTTAATTATTAAGAAAACTAAACGACATATCAAAAAGCGACTATTTTATTAACCAACTAGATTAAAAATACAACAAAAAAGGTCTTCTGCGTGTTTTGATTATAGCCATATTTATTGTAGAAAATATAAACCTTACAAATTAGTTTTGACTACGACCGACAAAATGAAGAGTCGGAAAGGATATCCGAGCAGTCTGAAAAATGATTTTGGGTACCAAGGGCCCATGCGGTACGACGTCCATGTGTCGTCGCACTACTGTACATTCGGTTTTGTAGTCCCACAGTGAGTAGCGGCTGCAGCAGTTTCTTTGTTTGGTCCATTGTTTTAGTTAGGTGGGTAAGGGAGGTCGATATCCAAAATCGTAAATAATAAAACCAATAATGCCGTAAACTTTTCGTTTATTCTAGGTTTTTAGATTCTAATTGTAGCGAAAAATGTATTAGTTTTAAAAGACGTTTATTTTATTTATACTGTGACAAAAATGTGTAGCAAATTACTTGCCTTGATGTGTAAGTGTGGCACCAAACAATTTTGTAGAGATAATGGCACCATTGAAAAATAAAAATTTCAACATTAAAATGTATTTTAACTAATGCGTCATATGGTTTTATTTTTAATATACTTTGTTATTTGAAAATCAAAATTATTAAAAACTAATGAATGATTACCAAAAATAACATAATTATAGACTTTTAGAGTTGCATTTTTCATAAAAGTTCTAGAAAACGAAAAAAGTTAATACTTTCAGAGATAATGAGGGTACTCACTTGAATGGATCCCATAGCATCTGTACATTTATTTTATTTACAAGTATTCAATATAAGAGTTTGTTGCCAGAGGAAATTTAAGATAATGGATACTTTCTGATGCTAAAGTTGTAAAGATTGCATTATTTTCTACAGAACTACTTTCTGTTTTATATGATCAATCAAAATTTCAGAAAAAATGTTCAAGTTGCCCTAATATAAATGAATATACTAATGTGAATAATTTTGATTATATTGAAGATTTTCAAATTCACCTTTGTGTAATTGTTTATTATAAATTTAATTTGTTTTCATTACTTAGATATGCCATCTCAAATTGTAACTTAAGATCCAGAATGAATCAAACAACTCAATTAAAGGTTTTAATAATCAAAAGAACC